GGGAGGCGGGGGAGGGAGGGAGGCAGGGTCCCCGTGCCCCGATGGGTCCCCGGGGCTGAGCTCCGTGGCGGGTCCCCCCCTGCAGGAGCTTCGTGCGGGAGGCGGAGGCGATTGCGGCGAGCCGCCGCACCAACAGCCTGACACTGAGCCGGCACACGGAGATCCTGGAGGTGCTGGAGATCCCGCAGCTCATGGACACCTGCGTGCGCAACGGCTACTATGAGGAGGCGCTGGAGCTGGCCGCGTATGTGCGCCGGCTGGAGAGGAAGCACGCCGCCATCCCCGTCATCCAGGTGGGGCCGTGGCCGGGCGGGTGGGCAGGCAGGCAGGCATCTGGGTGGGCGCGGGCAGGGGCTGACATTGCCACCGTGTCCTTGCACCAGGGCATCGTGGAGGAGGTGCGCCAGTCCACGCAGCTGATGCTAAGCCAGCTGCTGCAGCAGCTGCGCTCCAGCATCCCGCTGCCCGCCTGCCTGCGTGTCATCGGTTACCTGCGGCGCATGGACGTCTTCACAGAGGCCGAGCTGCGCGTCAAGTTCCTGCAGGCGCGGGATGCCTGGCTCCGCTCCATCCAGGCCGCCCTCCCTGACGACGACCCCTACGTGCATGTTGCCAAGACGGTGGAGGCCTGCCGCGTGCATCTCTTTGATGTGGTCACCCAGTACCGTGCCATCTTCTCGGATGAGGAGCCCCTGCTGCCCACCAGCGAGCCAGCCGTCACCGAGAGTGCTATCTTCCACGGCTGGGTGCTGCAGAAGGTGGCGGAGTTCCTGCGGGTGCTGGAGAGCGACCTGCAACGGGGTGTGGGCGGCCGCTTGGACTCACTGCTGGGGCAGTGCATGTACTTCGGCCTGTCCTTCAGCCGGGTGGGGGCCGACTTCCGCGGCCAGCTGGCCCCCGTGTTCCAGCGCGTGGCCATGGGTGCTTTCCGCAGGGCCGTGCAGGAGGCTGCAGATAAGTTCCAGGAGGAGATGAACTCCTACACACTGATCACAGCCCCGGCCGTGCTGGGTAGCACCATCCCACTGTCTGTGCCCTCTGCCCAGCCGGGGACGCTGCAGCCGCCCATGGTGTTGCTGGACTTCCCGCCTCTCGCCTGCTTCCTCAACAATGTCCTCGTGGCCTTCAATGACCTGCGGTTGTGCTGCCCCGTGGCTCTTGCCCAGGATGTGACCACATCCCTGGAGGCAGCACTTTGTAAGGTGAGGCACTGGGGACTCCTTGGTCTCTTGTGGTCCCAGCTCTTGCCTGCCCCTGGCAGATGGGCAAGACTTGGGGGTCTGGTACCATGATACAACCTGGCTGGCATCCTGGTGCCCCCTATGCATTGTGGCGGGGCCGGGGCTGACGATCCTTACCCACACCTCGTCCCCGTACAGGTGACCACTGTCATCCTGGCATTTCACCGGGCTGAGGAGGCTGCTTTCAGCAGGCGGGAGCAGGAGCTCTTCGTTCAGTTCTGCGCGGCCTTCCTGGACGACTTGCTCCCCTACCTCAACCGCTGTCTCCAGGTCCTCTTTCCCCCAGCCCAGATCGCACAGGCCCTGGGTAAGCTGCCCACCCCAGCTCCTGGTGGCCTCCTTAGCTGCCAGTGGCCTGCAGCGGAGGCACCTGCTGCCCTGAGTCCTCTGCTGGGTGCCCTGCAGGCAGGCTCCAGCTGAGTGACCTCTCTGTTCCCTCTGCCAGGGGTGCCCCCCACACAGCTGCACAAGTATGGCAGCCTGGGCTGCGTGGATGCCAGCAGGATCCGGGAGCCACTGGCCTTTATCTTGCCACCCAAGGAGGCAAGCTTCATGCCTGCTGAGGAGAAAGAGCTGCCCCGGGAGAGCCCAACACCTGTGCCAGCCCCGGAGGTGCCAGGCCCAGAGCAGGAGGCAGAGTCTGGCACCCCATCTCTGTGCGAGGCTGAGGACCAGAACAGTGTGGACATGGGGGATGTGCTGCAGCCTGAGGGAGCAGCGGCTGCCACCTAGCGCAGGGAGAGATGTGCCTGGTGAAGCCTGTGTGGTCTGCGGGTGGTGCAGGCTTTCTGTGCTCTGCCAAGTGGGAGGCAGATTGCCTTGCAGCTGTCCTTTGCCCTACGTAGGGGCAAGGCTGAGGTGGTGGGGGGGCAAGCGTCCTGGTTAAGGCAGGGAGCAGCACAGAACTGGAAGCCTCTCAGGCCACAGGCCAAGGCTAGAAATACTTCAGCCCACTCCCCCGCAGAAGCCAGCGACCCTGGCACGCGCAAGGTGGCTGTATGCTCTGAGGCCTGTGGTGCAAATAGGAGCTGTTCGCTGTGGAAGCAGAATCTGTGTGCAGCTGGTTTGGGAAAGGTGCTGGGTATTACATGAATAAAACTCATTGCCAGTCACCTGTGCAGCTACTGCCCCATGCCCACAGTTTTGGAGCCGGGGGGGGGAGGCGTGGCTGTGCTCTGCACAGACTTCGGGGTGCAGGGACATCACCAGGATGGTGTCAGATTGCTTCTGAGACCCTGTTTGGTGTGGGGGGTGGAGCCCCTCCCTGTTGGGCAGCTGCAGCTGGGTGCTGCTGTGATGCTGGGGGTACTGCCCCCCCCAGAGGCCACATCTAGTCCAATCCCTGCTCAAAGCAGGATCAGACCCAACTATATCATCCCAGCCAAGGCTTTGCCTACCTGGGTTTTAAAAGTCTCCAAGGATGGAGATGCCACCACCTCGGAGCAGCTAAGTTCCAGTGCTGGACCACCCTCCTAGTGAGAAAATTCTTCCTAATAGCCAACCTCACCTTCTCTTGCTGCAGCTTGAGCCCATTACTCCCTGTCCTGTCATGTGCCCCCACTGAGACCAGTCCAGCTCCATCTGCTGGGGGGCCAACCTTTAAGAAGTTGAAGGCTGTTATTAAATCCCCCGATGGTCTTCTCTTCCCCAGGCTAAATAAGCCCAGTTCCCTCAGGCTTTCCTCACACATTATGCCCCCCCCAACCCTTTTAATCACTCTCTGCTAGACTCTCCAGTGTGTTCACATCCTTTCTGTAAGGGGTGGGGGGCAAACCTGGACACAGGACTCCAGCTAAACTCAGGGTTTTTGAGCTAAAACCCAGTGCAATTCCCAGGGTCTGAGGGTGGGGGGGCTGCATTGCCCAAGAGGAAGCAGGGAGGCTCTTGGGGGTCCCCAGTGCAGCCATTGTTCCCCTGGAGGTCAGGGTCATGCTCCCCACAGTGCCTTGGCCCTGAGTCACTCCTGGGGGGGACAAAGCGCCCAGCAGCTGTTCCTGTGCCCCAGGGAGCCCTGCAGGACAGCACCATTGCACACCCCCTGCAACATCATCCCATCCTGCCAGGGGGTGACGAGGACCCATGGTGGGGTGCGGTAGGACTACACTTCCCAGGATGTCCTGGGGTTTTTTGCCTGCCACCCCCAGGCTGCCAGTCCCTCTGCCCGGTGTGCATCCCTTCCTGGCAGGGGCAGTGCCTGGCACCAGCACAGGATGCGAGCGAAAGAAGGGAGCACTGGGCTTAACCCAGGAAGAAACCTGCACTAGCCTTGCTTACAGCTCCAGGCCAGGCCCTCTACCAGCTCCCAGGATGCGCCCCAGGCCTGTGCAGCTGGAGGCCTTTCTCCCCTGTGGGCTCCCACCACAGTACCTGACTAGCAAAACGGGTACCTCTGCTCTCAGCACCCACTAGCAAAAGCCCTATGAGCTGGGAGGAAACCTCTGCCCCAGAGTACAGCTGTACGGCTGGCAAGGTGCAAGCCCTGCTCTCCCCGCCCCACACGGCTGAGAATCCAGGCAGGGCTGAACGGAGAAGGAAACAGGCAGGAAGAGGGTCTAGGGAGCCAAGGGCCCAGCTTTCCTCCCTGGGGGCAGCCCCAGCTCCAGCCACACAGGACACCACACCCCTCCTGGGCAGGGTTCAGAGCCTGGGGACTAGGGGTGAGATACAGCCAGGAGCTGAGCTGTGAGGTCACCTCGGGCAGGGGCAGAGGGGGCAGGGCAGAAGCCCCCTCCCTGCAGGAGACGGTAGGAGGCATCTCGCCTCACATGCTTCGCCAGGAAGGTGGGGGCCTTGCAACTACTTCCCCCAGAGATCCACGGGTCGCCCAGCTCCGTCAACCCCTGGGGCACTGGAGCTCAAGCTCCTAGAAGGCAGCTTTGCCATTAGCCACAGGGCGCCAGACCCGAGCCAAACAGGGCCCCAGGTCCGCCTTTCCAGCCTGGACAGGAGGGAGGGATCCAGTGCCTGTGAGGAGGCTGTGGAAAGCCTGGCTGAGCCAGCGAAGCTTTCAGATGGTTTTTATTTTATACAAACAAGACAAACCCAAGCAGCATTAATTTAAAAAATTAAAAAAAAAAAAAGAAAAAAAAAAAAGGAAACCAAACCAAAGAGCAGGAAGGTGGCAGGAGCCCCGGCCATGCCCCAGCCCTTCCCGTAGTGTCTGGGGGCCACAGGCGCCACCTCATCCCTCCCCACAGGGCAGGCATGGGGATGCGGGTTCAGGAGGGAGTGGAAGTGGTGCCTTGGCTAGGCACAGCCGGCCCCTGCCTGCCCGCCCACCACAGCTTTGTTAGTAACACGCGTGGCTGCCGGGTGGCCCATCCCCCCACCCACCCCCCAGCAGAAGTGCTTAACCTTCCTGCCCAAAGTCCTCTGTGAACTTCTTCACCTTCAGGAGGTCCTCAGCATTCACCGTGGGGCGGGTGGTGGCCAGTGAGCGCAGCATGTCCGACTATACAACAAGGGGAGGGGGTGTGAGATCCACGCTGGCACGGAGCACAGGGAGAGCCCCAGGATGGGGTCTGGAGCACCAAGCAGGTCTCACGCTGCCCCCCACGGTACAGGGCTCCAGGCCCCCTCCCCACAGCGGCCCTGAGACGGTGCCTCCCTTACCATGCAAACTGTCGGCTCCATCAGCTTGTCGCTGGGCACCTCCATCCAGGTCATCTCTATGGCCTCAGGGTCTCCAGGAGAGCATGGGGTCAGGAGGTCGTCGACAATGATGCTGGGGTTGGTGCGAGACGGGCCTCGGACCTGGAATGGGCCAGAGAGAACGGCGCTGATGGGCCCGCCCCTGTGCATCTCTGGCACCTCCCCACTCCCAGGGCCAGCCCAGGGGCTTGGTCAGTGCCCAGTGAGACAGCAGGGGCACAACACAACCTGCGTGGCTGCAGCAGGGGACACCGGTGCCACCGCAGCCACCCCGCCCCACATGCCCGCGCTCACCTTCTTGAAGTGCGTGGCTGACTGCACCTTGCGCACAGGCTGCATGAGGGCATCGCGCACGATGATGCTGATGTCAGCCCCAGAGTAGCCGTCTGTCTTCCGGGCCAGCTCATGGATGTTGGTGTCTGTCAGGCTGTGCGGCGTGTTCCCCAGGTGCAGCCTGAATATCTGGGCCCGCGCCGCCTCCTCTGGCAGCGGGATGTAGATGCGCTTCTCGAACCTGGACAAGGGAGGGGCAGTAGCAGGCCTTGCTGGGGTCCAGCCTCCTGGCTGCCAGGCAAGAAACACCGGGACAGGCTGCAGGCGCACACAGGGCACTGAGGCAACACGGGACAGCCCTCACGGCTGCACCAAGGGAAGCAGGAGAGCAGTGCCAACCCCTGTGCCCACAACCCCACTCACCTCCTCCTGATGGCCGAGTCGAGCACCCACGGGATGTTAGTGGCACCGAGGACGAGGATCCCGTCGCTGTTATTCCCAACACCTGCCGGGAGCAGAAAGGCCAGTGAGGGGCAGTGGGGCATCTGGGAGCCCTGGAGGGGCTGGAGTCAGGCAGCTGCCAGGCTGAGCTGGTCAGGAGACGCAAGGGCAACCAGCATGGAGGGCATCCTCATGGGTTTGGTCTCATGTCCCGTTCCTTTCCTGACCCCTCCACGCCTGCAGCCTTGGCATGCAGAGCCCATGGTGGGAAGTGGGGAACCTGCACCTTGCATCTGCACCAGGAACTCGGTTTTGATGCGGCGCGCAGCTTCGCTCTCGTTCTCGTTGCGGGAGCCGCACAGGGAGTCCACCTCATCGATGAAAATGATGGAGGGCTTGTGCTGCCGCGCCAGCTCAAAGAGGTTCTTCACCAGCCTAAGGCCAAGGAACAGTGGTGAGCTCTCACCCTAACCCACATGCGCAGCCAGGACAGGCCCCTGCTTCCTGCCTGTGCCCAACCCCATGGCACCAGGGCCTTCCCCCATGGCAGCCCCAAGCTCAGGCCACTCCCTGGAGGTGGCTCAGGGCCTGGGTGTGCTCTGCCCTGTTCACACGAGCAGTGTGGAGCAGCCAGACTTACTTCTCGCTCTCCCCCAGCCACTTGGACATCAAGTCCGAAGACGACACGGAGAAGAAGGTGGAGTTGTTGGCCTCGGTTGCCACGGCCTTGGCCAGGTACGACTTCCCTGTGCCCGGAGGCCCAAAGAGCAGGATCCCTCGCCAGGGCGTGCGTTTCCCTGCAACACGGTGCTGTGAGTCAGCCCCCCATGTCTGCTGGGGCCCGGGCTGGGCTCGCTGGAGGGGGTGAAGCTGGGGCTCCAGCTCTGCCCCCTCCATAGCACCTCTCTCCTGGCCAAGGTCAGTCTGCCTAGCGCTGTCCTTGCTAGGGCCTGGCTGGTTTCATGTGCCCCTCCCTGCCAGAGCTGCCAGCCAAGGGACTCCCGCGATCCTGATACTGGCCCGTGACCTCCAAGACGCACGGGGGAGCTGACCCAAGGAAGTGCCCTCCGTGCCCGACTCCGTCTAGCCTCTCTCTCTGCTGTCCCAGTAAAAGGCATCAGAGAATCACAGAACATGAGGAGTTGGAAGGGACTTCAGGAGTCCTCGAGTCCAGTGTTTCTCAACCCGTGCGTCATGACCCAAAAGGGGGTTGCAAGAATATAGGAAAGGGTTGCGAATAAAATTTAAATGGATCAAAAAACTTTAAAAATTGATTCTCCTTTAAAAGAAAAAACGTGGGGAAACCATGGCTTTTCCCTTGTAGGCTGGCAGAGCTCCAGCCTGCAAGGGGCTGCTTGGAGCCCACCTGGCCCCCACACTGTGGGGCTGGGAGTGAGGGGCACTGGGTCAAGACTGGCCAAAGATGTCTGCAAATAGGTCCTGGTACAAAAAGGTTGAGAACTGCTGATCTAGTCTGACCCCTGCTCCAAGCAGGACCAGTCCCAACTACATCATCCCAGCCAAGGCTTTGTTGAGCCGATTCTTAAATGCCTCCAAGGATGGAGAGTCCACCACCTCTCTGGGGAGCCTGTGCCAGGCTTCACCACCCACCCAGCGAGAGAGTTTTTTCTAATATCCAGCTAAACTTCCCTTACTGCAACTGGAGCCCATTGCTCCTTGTTCTGTCAACTGCCTCCACTGAGGACAGCCCAGCTCCACCCTCTTTAAAACCCCCCTGCAGGGAGGTGAAGGCTGCTATTCAATCCCCCTCCACCTTCTCTTCTCCAGACTAAACAAGCCCAGTTCCCTCAGCCTCTCCTCACCAGTCATGTCCCTCAGCCCCCAAACCATCTTTGGTCACCCACTAACTAGACTCTTTGAGGTGCCCACATCCTTTCCGCAGTGGGAGGCCCACAACTGGACGCAGGACTCCAGACGTGGCCTCCCCAGTGCTGAGCAGAGGAAAGAATCGCGCCCTGGACCCGCTGGCGACGTTCCTACACCCACAGCAGGCAGCATCGACCCAGCCTCGCTTCTTGCTGGTTCCTGGGGCTGCAATGCCGCGGTGCCGGGGCCTGCGGCCAGCTCTGGGGCACGAGGCAGCAGCCCTGCTCCTGCCCCAGGTGCAATCCTCACCAGTGAACAAGTGGGGGAATTTGATGGGCAGGATGACGGCCTCCTTCAGCGCCTCCTTGGCTCCCTCCAGCCCGGCCACATCATTCCACCGCACGTTGGGCTTCTCCATCATGATGGCGCCTGCAGGGGAGGCAGCTCTCCTGAGGTGGGCGCCGAGCCCGCGATGCCCCCAGCTAGCTCTCCCGCCGGCCCCGGCCCCGGCCCCGGCCCCTTACCCATGAGCTGCTCCTGCAGCTTCTTCTTCTCGGGGTTCTCGCCCTCACTGTCGCTGTCGCTGCTGCGGAGGAGACAGCGTCATGCCCAGGCGGGCACGGGGACACGCACACGCGTGCACGCACACGACACGACACGCTCACCCCTTGCTGTCGCTCTGCGCCTCCTTGACGGGCTTCTTGCTCTGCTTGTCCTTGCTGCGCAGGTAGTCCTTCAGCTTCTCCGCCCGGTCCAGGTACTGCACGCACTTGGCCCGGATGCTCTCCTTCGCCTTGTCACTGTGCGCCTCATCTGCCGGGGCCGCGGGCCTGCGCTCAGCCACCCCGGCCCAGCCCGGCCCGGCCCGGCCCG